GGACAAAGAGCCGGCTCCAGAGCTGATCGCTGCCACAGTATGAAGGAAAAACAAACAATTAAAATTAGAATAATTGCTATTATTATAATAATAATAAATGAATGAATGAATAAGGAACGTCAGGTTATAGCAATGATTATAATATTCTACCACCACAACATCATCATTCTCATCATTATCATTATTGTCACCATCATCATCACTATCAGCAACAACATGCAGACTATGAAGTAGTAGAGGATCCGCGCTTCACATATTTTTTGTGCTCGAGCCTTGTGACAATGTTCCATCCCATGTGCAGATAAGCACAAATAACAGCTGCACCCTCTGTTGCACTAACAACATGTGTATCCACAAGCGAGGAGGGTTCGACAGAGCTCGCCATTTTTAACTTAATATGAATCACTTTTTTCACAAGTTGGAAAACTTTCAATTAGTTGAGGTGACATAAACGTATTATATTGAGTTAACATAACATTTCCAAAGACTTGAAGTAAAACTAACTTAGAATTTTATGTTATTATGACTTTTTGTATTTACAGTGTACGTCAAATTTTGAAATAATGAAATGATGTGTTTGCACATGGTATGTCATCTTTTCCTAAATAAGCAGCACATTCACATGTTGTTTCCATGTGGCATTTTTGAAGTTCAGACATCTTATCCACCTGGATCATAACTCGTCACAGTTTAGATCCGGTTAATTGCTTGTGTACGAGGGTCAAAAATATTTAGTTGCTTTCCCTCCCAGCCTGTAACCAAGATGCTGCCGATTGAGTCGAGGAAACGGCTCATGACGAGCCAATCAGAGCTGATGTCTGAAATCCTGTCACATCACATCACATTTCAACAGTTACCTTTGAGGTTCTTGGTTGATGTTGTTTTGATTCTGTTATTATGGAGACGGGATTTTTTTCCCTATAAGTCAACTGTGATTACAAACTTTGATCCTAACTGGTATTTTGGCCAACCCCATGTTTGTTTGTTCAGTCATAAGTGACCATATTTGGACAAGAGCAATGCCGTAAAGAGCAGGACCAATCCGTCACTGAAATTGATTACGCCCTGACCAGCGTACCTTGATATGATTTAATCAGGAATATATTCAGTTTGTTTATAGTTTTCATGGCTGGTAAGGGATTTAGGCCAATGGTTCTAAACTGGTGGTTCGGGACCCAAAAGTGGGTCGTGGAGTCGTTTTTCCATGGGTCGTGAAATTTTGCCAGTGGGGTCAAGAAGTTTTAAAAAAAAATCACTTTTAAAACATGTTTGTTTAGTTTCATCTCTTTGTTCTGTCATATTTTTCTGTACTGTCTGAGGTCCAAACTGCACAATTTTTCATAAAGAAAATCTCATTAGTTGATAAATATTCAAAATTGGGGTCGCGGTTTATTTTTAAGGAGTTGGTGGTGGGTCCTGAGACTATGCCAGTGGAGAACCACTGATTTTGGAGAAAACTGTTTTTGGTTGAGGCTTTAAACATGTTTGACTCCGTTGTAAAGTTGTGAAATTATAACTCTACAGGGATTGACTCAATTTTGGAGCCAGCCTCAAGTGGCCATTTAAGGAACTGCACTTCCAAGTTGTCACTTAACAAATACCTACCAAAAATATGAATATACATGAATCTGTCTTTTTCTGTTTTGAATATGTACGCTAAAATTAAATGTTTGACTTGTAAATAGTATAAGTTTTCAGATGTTCAGAGTTACATGAACACACAGGGAAAGTATACTGCAAAGCCAGTTAATTTCTTTCTAATTTCAAGTCAAACATATCTTGTTACTCTTCTTTACCAGACAAGATGAGCTTAACATATTTGGTTTGGTTCTAGAGGTGCAGTACATCTATGTGTCCAAAAATAACCTCTTTTAATCAATCAATCAAATTAATCCATCATGAGCCCTTAGCAACATTTAGCAAAGAGGCAGCAACCTTGTGCAGAACGGGACTCATGATGAACAGCTGTCTGCTGAGACTGCGCTGCAGGGATCGAAAAATGGGGGGATGGGGGAGATGCAGGAAGAAGGAGAAGGATAGGCAGATAGCAGCAGGCTGTCCCCACCAACAATCCAGAGGAACCTATGAGGTAAGAGAGCTCAGGAGATCCCAGGAAGATATGTGGTTAGTCATTTACTAATATGAAGATTTACAGATACTGACATGCAGAAAGAGAGAGAGAGAGGAGCATCCTTGGTCAACCAACATAAACAACTTCACTTCATAAGAAAAAGTAAACTTCAGCTTGGACATGTCAATCCATAATTTACAAAACAACCAAAAAGTAAATAACTCCAAAACATCATCCCTCTCATTTTAAGAGACAACGTCAAACTCACATTGAGTCTGCACATGAGCTGAACATCCAGAGCGAGTGCTGACACTAGACTTAAGCTGATTATGGTTATTAGTCAGAGTACAGGAGCTAAACAGAGTCTGTGGTTTCTAAAATTGCAGGTGTTGTGTTTCAGATTGAATTGTGCACCTCTGGAGTTTATTTCTATAACGAGGGGTATCGTATGAGCTGGAGGAAACGAGAGGGAAAGCTGTGTTGATAAAGTCGCACTATTCTCTCTCTGATGTAACTTTCATTCACAACATTTTTTTCTCAGATGAAGATGAAGAAAAAACACTCCAACATGAAACTGAGAGGGCTGTGAATTGCAGATGCCGGGTCTGTTTATTTCATGTGCTGTCAATCATCATAATCCGATAATAACTCCTGCAGAGCTGAGCTGCCAAAATTATTCAACTGACTCAGTTTCAGCTCAGAGTCTCAGCAGCTCGTCATGAACAGTTTTTATGCTTTCTTTTATAAAAATATTTGTTGGTCTTTTTGCGTCTATTAGATAGGACAGCTGAGTAGAGAAAGGAATAATTGGGAGGAGAGAGAGTGGGGGACAACATGCAGCAAAGGGCCAAGTTCAGATTCAAACCAATGCTATGGAGCAACCCATGTTGTTGCTCCTAGCTTAATGCTAACATCAGCATATTTCTAACATTTAAGAGAGAAATCTTAATGCATTATTCTTGAGTTCTGCTTTAACTGTTATGCCCTGATAGAAGGATTTAAATGTGTTGTATTTCCCCTGACTAATGAACTATTCCTTTAAAACGGTCACTTTTTAGTTATTCGTCTCAAAAAAAGATGTCAGAGATAATCAAACCCTCCCAAAATCTGCTTGCTTAGGTAATTACTACAAATATTTTTTTTAAATACATAAACAATAATAAGTTGTATTCCTTCAGCTCCTTTGCTTAAAGATCACATATTCTGCAAAATCCACTTCACCATATTTTTCTAACTCTAATATATTTCTCCAGTCGCTCTACAAACCCAATGTCGCTCTACAAACCCCAATGATGAGAAAAGTCCATCCTCTCTGTCTTTTGCCTGCTCCACTTTTCAGAAAATGTTCCCTTCATGACATCACAAAGGGCAGTAACCCCTCCCCCAGGTGGGTGACACTCCCACAGCTAGGTGTTTGTTCTGCCCCCTGAGTCTGCCTTCTCACCAAAAACAATAGGACTTGGAGCGAGAAAGCCCCGAGCCACCCAAGCCCTTCCAGAGAGGGGGCGTGGTCAGACACAGCTCATTTACATTTAAAGGTACAGACACAGATACAGCGTGTTCTGAGCAGGGCTGAAACAGAGGGGTTTATAGGCATGATCAAATACAGGATCAGAGTGGATTTAGAACAAGAAACTTCACAGACATGTTTTAGGGAGATCTGAGACTTATTTACACTGGTTGAAGAGGAGGAGAATATGTGACCTTTAAATTTAAAGTGTAAACATTGATATGGAGGAGCTCTCTGATCCTGCAGCAGCTGCAGATTAGTTCTACAAATCTAGAGCTTCTGTTAAAGTGAAGTTAAGACTTTAATTTGGCTGACTTTAACACTTTCTGTAATCCTCACATAATCAACAGACATGAATCATGAAGCTACAGAAACGTCTCCTCCCTCCTCACGTCCCCCCTGAGCTGTGTTTGTTCCTCCCTTTCTCCTGGGACTATTGTTAAACCGCCTACAGCAGCTCGCCGTGACTCATCTGAGTGACTTTCTCCATCACAACCCAACTGTCTGCAGGCTGATGAAGAGCCGTCTGTAAAGTCAGGCTCATTACAGTCATTAACCAACACGAGACAAATGAGTGTGACTGTAATATGACAGAACTGTCTCACTTGATTTACTGATTGTTTTAAAGGAGAATAATATTTATTTTGTGCTTTTGCCCAACAAAATAAACTCCAGATTGGATTCTCTAGGTAATAAATGAAATAAATATAATTGGAAATTTAAATGGGAGAAGCATCCAAATGCCACATTATTGTAAAAAAATAAACATCACTGGCGCCTGCACCAAGAAGGTATAGCAATCAGAAAGGGGCGTACTTGTATTTGTCATGCATACAGGGATATGAATAACCAGGTTTCTCTGTGTGTATGTAAACACCATTACCCTGATGATGAAAACCAGGATAAGGCTCAGAACCGGGACACTCAAGTCCACATAACACACTCAATAGGAAAGATTTTCAACTTTAGCCGCATAAAAAGGACGCTGGGAGCTGCGTTTTTTCTTTGGGGCGCCGCCTGCTGATCCAAATGCTCTCTGATCTTTGATAACGATTTTAATAAGAAGCATGCGCTCAGAAAAAAAAACGTTAGGTGGACATGGGCCTTACAGGACTTATTTCCTGGTAGAGCAATTTTAAAAAAGCAAAATGGTGGCAAATGTGATCTTTTATTGAAATTCCTAGAGACAAACATAAGATGACCTATACACAAAAACATGACTGTATTTGTTGATGTTTGAATTCTAAAGTTTGAGTGTTTCCCGACACATTTCACAGCAGTTTTCTTGGAGCAGCACCTAGTGGAAGTTTGAGGAACTGCAGAGCACAATGTCACACATTTAATTGTAGCTTCTCCTTCTAAAGATCTTTATTGTTATCTCAACAACAACTCTTCAGTCCCAAAATGAAGTCTTGGTGTCTACAGAATCAGACACTTTATAATCAGACAGAGTCCCAGGAACATGATGACACACAGACAGGAGAAATGGAGGGACAGGAGGAGCAGGATATCTCCCAGCAGGCTGTGTTCCCGTGGGTGAGGCAGAGGGATGGCGGGCTGAGGTGGAGGAGGAAGACGTGATGGAGTCTGAGGCATCTCGCAGTAAACCCCGGTCCAGCCCTGGTAGCACTGACAGGTGAACTTGTGCTTCATGTCCAGGATGTCGTGGTTGTTGAGGTGACCTCTGACTTGGAAGCGGGGGCCCCTGGGTGCCGGGTTATGGTGGATGTGGAAGAAGCGCGGGTTCAGGTGCAGGTAAGCGCCTGAGTCAAGGCTTTTGCGTACACACCTGCCATTCTTTTTGCAGAGTGCCTTGCTGCACAGCTTGGCGGCAGAGGTGACGTTGATGACGTAATGTCCCAGAGGACCGTCGATGTACTTCTTCACTGTCAGGCAATTTCTCTGAAAAGAGCAGGGGACAAAATCACAGTTATTACACTTTAAAAACAAAGGTTCCCACTTGTAGATTTCATGTTTTCAATAAAGGGAGAACAAATAGGTCTAATATTCACTGATGCTGTGTAAAGTGTCAGTATTAACTAATTCCATGCATACACATTCATACACCAAGGACGAAGCAGCAGGAGCAACTTGGGGTTAAGTGTCTTGCCCAGGGACACATTGGATCACGTGGCTGCAGGATCTGGGGATTGAACCCTCGACCTTCTGGTTGAGAAACGACCGACTTTACTGAGCCACAGACGCCCCAAGTCATTTTGATGTTATTATTTTTTACAATTTCCATCTCACTCACCAGTAGTAACTGTACTGTACCTGTGTCCGTGCATACTCTGATGATCCCCACAGAACGACACCTGATGCTCCCAGTGCAGCGCTCTCCCCAATCGTGTGAATCAGGTCACTCTGAAATGCAATAACAGCCGCTTACAAACTAGCAAACACCTGATTTAAAATACAACCATTTACTTATTTAACCATTTATTTAGACATAAAGGGATTCAAATGATTCACATTTTCCCACCAACTGTTGACTGAGAAGAGTCTTTCTTTTCAAAGCATCTTTAAAGTATATACTCCGGAGAACGCCAGTTATGTTGCAGGCCCCAGGTACAGAGGCTATAATCCTCGTCCTAGCAGCTGTGGGTTCGAATCTGACTTCAACCCTTCACCACCTGCATGTCACCGCCCACTCTATTTTCCCAACATTTCCTGCGTCTCTTCAGCTTTCCTACTCAAAAATAACTAACTAAAAAAAGTACACACTCGAGTCAGTTGTTCTGGTGATGGCATAACGAGAACGTTTCAGAGACATTCACACAAACACAGCTAGCAGGGACAGCCAGGCAACCATCATGACAGAGAGAACAACTTAAAGGTGAAATGTAGACTTTTAGAATTCAGCTATTTCAAGACACCCCAATCTTAAAGTTTTCCATTTCTGTTTTTGAGTTTAGCTCGTCTTTTTCTCCAAAAAAAGTCTGCAACTTTTGACTGGCAGGTTCACTCTGTAAACATTTACCAAAATGTACTGGATGTCTTTCTCTTCTTCTGTTATTTGTAAATCAGCTGAAAGGTTGAAATTACGGCCAACAACTCAACTAGAGTGAAACTATAGGAGAGGTTTGAGGACAAGCAGTAAAAGTTTGGCCAATAACTTTATTCCCTTCCAATTCCCAAGCAATTATTTTGTTAAGGTGATTGACTACAAGCTTATTCCAGATTTTTATTGACTGGAACAAATTGCCTGATTTAGAAGCTAATCAGGTTCCTATTTTAGTCTTGATTGTCGACTGTTATAAGAAGTGGACATGGCTGCGTGAACCACATATTTATTTGTAGACTCCCATTTTGAAGCCTTGAGTTTGGAGGCCTGATTTTTCTAACAACAACTTACCTCTGAGAGAACCACAAAGGTGTAAGCGTAGAACGGTCTGGAGTAGACAAACACAGGCAACGTGAAGTCCGTACGAGCGATGGACGCAATCCTCATGGCCTCCTTGACTCTGTAGTGGACGAACCTGACAGTGTTGGGTGAGGACTTGAGCTCGTAGTCCAGGTAGATTGACGGGTAGAGGGCCGTGCTCTCCTTCCAAAGCCACATTAGATGGTCGTTACGGACGTGCTCAATGTTGGGGCATTCACCGGTGTACCTTTGTGGGTGCTGCTTGTATCCGTAGTTGTAACAGTCCGGGAACAGGTAAAAACCCCACAGCCCGTCTGGCCTGCGACCTTCAGCCAACGCCAAGGTCAGATTCATGAATGCAAGCCCAGCCCTCTCAAAACTCTCCTTGGCTTCGTTCTCCACCTTGCTCTCCGGCCAGTTCGGGTGAAGTTTCCGAATCTGTTCCTTGGATTTGTTGCGGTAGATGTCCTTAGAGCCCCAGTTTCTGACCCACTGAGGCCTCCAGTTTTCCCAGTCGATCACACCCAGGCCTCTGAAGTCCTTGTGGGGGATTAGCTTGTCAATGTCCGAGCGGGCCTTGCTCAGGTGTTTGGAGATGCTCTGGTTCTGCGGTAGTCCACCGTTGATAGGATCCCCGGAGTTGGAGAAGTATGGATAGTATCCCAAATGGCTGTGGTAGAATATGGTGACGTTTGGTCCACTTAGGGTTTCATTCAAGTTTGCTACGATGTCAAAAACGCTAAGGTCCAAGTCCACTTTGAATCGAAGGCGGCAGGATTCAGTGGGAGCGTTCCACACAACGACGAAAGGCCGGTTGGGGATCAGAGGTGCCCGTGCTGGCTTCATCTGGTCGCCCTGAACTTGTAGCACCACTCCCATGCAAACCCACACGGCCAGAGCCAGGAGACGGGGCTCCATCACAGCCATGGCCACCGATTCTTCATGGAGCAATTAGTGGTCCTGCACAGGCAGACAAGAGAATCAACATGTTTGAGAGAGAAAATAAACACGTTGTGAGGTTGAACGAGCAGAGATAATGTACGATGACACATGAGAGATTAGCGCTGAAGTGAACGCTCCAGATTCCACAACAAAACACAAAGCTCCCCTGTTCTCACAGGGAGCAGGACTTTGATGAAAGGGATTCCCAAAGTAAGAGATGCTTTGGACAGGGAAGATAGTCAGGGTAAACTCTACTCTCTAATAACTAATAGCTAAGTGACTCTTCACAGTCAGGAGGTCCTGCAGCTTTTCCTTACATCATTTAAACACAGATTTGTAAGAATCCGGTTTTTAAACATTCCTGTCATTTCTCTTTGCAAAGCGTTTTAGATATCTATTTTTCTGACACCTGCTGGCCACCGTAGTTCAGGCCTGCATGATTTGAGAGAAATATCTTCCATGTCATCTCTCCAAAAATAAATGGAAAAATAGACTAAATATAGATGAATTGATCATAAAGGCTACATGTTTGTGACATTCGGGTAAAGTTTATGTGTACAGGAAACACTGGATGGTCATTACCTTTAGTTATATTTCTCATTCTGCAAACATTTGCACAATCATGATGACCCCCATTGATGATGAGGCCTTCCGCAAAGAGTTTCAGAATTAAGCATTTCAAAGATTACAGCTACAACTCTAAAGCTTAACAATCCTTTTTCATTCTGTTATATATTCAGGACAGTTTCAGCCTCTTTTGTTGCTCTGACTTTTTATTTTCTTCTCTGACATTCTTCCAAAGCGTTCCCTCCCGCTCTTTATGCAAGAGCTCCCCAGATAATTGCCCTTGGCGCCCCCACTCACATGCAAGTAATTCATAATTCAGTTTTTCCAAAGTCAGGGGGAAAGATATTATGACCCGGCTCTTGGGAAACATGGCCACTGAGGTTGCCTCCAAGGAAGCCACGGAAAATCTCCCATCATTCTCTTTGTGGGATTGTAAGTACAGTAGAGCAGTGGAGCGGGAAAACCGCCGGTGGCTTGAGGCTTCTCTGACCATTTCAACTTTTCATTCATCTGAGGAAGCGTCAGCCTGGAGATGATGTTCTCTGATGATTTTAATGGCATGAGAACTTTATGATCCCAGCAAATATTGCATGTGGATCTCGAGTGGAGTCAGCTCTAGTCTGTAGAGAGTTTTAGGAGAAGATGGTGGAAGAAAGAGGACTAATAAACTGTCATAATGTAACCCCTAAAACATCTTACAAGGTGATAATTCATCAAAAAAAAGTTTCCTCTTGTCTGGCTCAGCATATGAAAGCATTTCCCCAGGCTGTGTCTCTAACAAGTTTCTCCGAGCTAGATGGTTTTTCTACTGATCCAAGACAAACAAAGTGCGGTGAAGCCACTCAGGCTGTCCTCAAAACCACCGAAAGGCCCAGAATCTCTGAAATACACCGCAACATGAAACCACAAGAAAGACCCCCCAAAATCAGCATCTTAGTCCAAACTGACACAGGAGACTCAGTTTTGTCTCAGACAGACACAACAAAATGGTAAAAAGCTGCTGAACTCGGCTAATTGGATCCAGATGAGGACAGGAGGTTCACTTGTGAGCTACGAGCACTGGATGGCAATGCCAGTCAGTCGGCCCATCGCTGTGGTCCAGACTCAAGTACCTCAACAAGTACCTCAAGTACCTCAAGTACCTCAACAGCATGGGATGGACTGCAATAAAATGTATTTTGGACATTTATTGAAGAATTGGAAACACTTTGGTGATCCAACATGTTCCTTTAGGTCAACTCTTTTAATTTTTTCAAATGACCAGCGTTGGGTAACGTTGATTTTTAACTTGTTACTTCACAACATTACTGCCTTTAAAAGTTACATTGATTTATTACATACTGACCAAAGTCAAATGTTGGAGTACTTTTGTGTTACCAGATATTAGAACTCCTTTGCCCCTAGTTTATCCATGTTGGTTATATTGACCAGACGGCACCAAGCCAATGCGTCTACCTCTGAACGCCCCTTGATATGTGTCCAAGAGAGTATTCATTCAGTAGAGTACTGGAGATGGAGAAAAACTTGAAGTTAATTTTTACCAGGATTATGACGATAAAATATGTTAACTGCAAAAGGTAACACTTTTAGTGTTGTTTTTACAAACATATTGGCATGTTCGTGTAAGCATTCTGCACATTTATTTTACACTTTCAAAAAGCTTGATGAGTTAACCAGCTGGAAACTTAAAGCGTTTGTCATTAATGGTAGATTATCCTATTCATATATTATCAGGAAATGTTATCACTCGTGTTTGTTTGTTGTAAGTTCTCATTAGGCCTACATTGTAAATACATTTATGTTGTGTAGAGACCATGCCAAACATTACACCTATTAAAGCCATGGTTGGTCATTTCCTCCAGATACACTTTTTAAGATATAGGTTGAACTTATCTTTAGGTCCTGACAGAAATTAATAACTCATGTTCTTTGAAAAAGGAATGAAGAAAATCCGTCATCTGTAGCAGTTTGTAAGCCTGTAAAAACTTCAACCAATGTCTGTCACGAGGTATCAATCTGATGAACCAATCACACGCCTCCCTGTCTCCCTGCTCGCTCTCTACCGCTTGCGTGCTCTAGCTCACACTTAAAGCACGTCATGATGACGGAGTTTATACTGTGAATTTACTTTCCGCTGAATGAGACATGAGATGATGTAGTTTCTACTATGGCTCTTGAGGGAGCACAGAGGGGAGGGCGTGGATGTTATCGAGCTTGCCCTTAGCTGGATTTTATCTGTTGTGTTTTGACAGAGCCGTGTGTGCAGATTTGGGGATGCTATACTCGGGGGTCTTTGGTCTCAGTGAGTGTGTTTGAGTCATTACCAGCTCTCTGGAAAATATGAATCCAACCTTGAATTAGCAGTTAATTATCTAGTGTTAATGTCTAACAACCAGAGACAGAGGGACTGTCGCTCTGTAGCCACACCACATATCGTGAAGTGTGTGTGCGTGTGTGTGTGTGTGTGTGTGTGTGCGTGTGTGTGTCTGTGTGTGTGTGTGTGTGTGTGTGTGTGTGTGTGTGTGTGTGTGTGTGTGTGTGTGTGTGTGTGTGTGTGTGTGTGTCTGCGCGTGTGCGTGTGTGTGTGTGTGTCTGTGTGTCGGTGTGTGTGTCTGTGTGTGTGTGTGTGTGTGTGTGTGTGTGTGTGTGTGTGTGTGTGTGCGTGTGCGTGTGTGTCTGTGTGTAGGTGTGTGTCTGTGTGTGTGTCTGTGGGTGGGTTTGAAAACCACAGAAAGTCTGAGTCAGACCGCTTTGATTCCCAACATGTACATTAGATGATGCATGTGTGGATTTACAAACGTGTCTACAACACAGCTGTGTGTGTGTGTGTTTTTGTGGGTAAGCGAGATGGCTGTGCATCAAGTCCTTAATTGACTAATTCTCCAGACCGCATGTCTTGACCCGATACTTAATGGACCCTGAATAAAGACATCTGAAACCAAGGACAGTTGGATCACAATCTGCAAAGGTCTGCGGATGATCCAACCTGATACAAACTGTGATGAAGAATGAAACAGAAAACATTTAAATGTTTTTCTGCATTTTTCAGTTTATTCACTGTATATGCCTCTGTATTCATACTAAACAGTATCTATATCCCATATCATAGCCATATGCTCGGCACTTGTGATTTTTAATTGTGGTCTTTTGATTATTTGCACCTCCTCCCTCTGGTCTATGAGAAAATAATTTCATTCAGTTGTGTACCTTTAAATGTCACATATTATGCAAAATCCACTCCACCATGTTCCTCTAACACTAATATGTGTATCTAGTCTGTCTATAAACCCCCCCAATGGTTGAAAATGAAAAGTCCATCCTCTCCGTCTTTTGCCTGCTCCACTTTTCAGAAAATGTGTTCTCAAACAGACCGGTTGGAGATGTTCCCTTCATGACATCACAAAGGGCAGTAACCCCTCCCCCAGGTGGGTGACACTCCCACAGCTAGGTGTTTGTTCTGCCCTCTGAGTCTGCCTTCTCACCTTAAACAATAGGACATGGAGTGAGAAAGCCCCAGACACCCAAGCACTTCCAGAGAGGGGGCGTGGTCAGACACAGCTCATTTACATTTAAAGGTACAGACACAGAAACAGCCTGTTCTGATCAGGGCTGAAATAGAGGGGTTTATAGACATGATCAAATACAGGATCAGGGTGGATTTAGAACAATAAACTTCACACACATGTTTAGGGGAGCTCTGAGACTTATTTAAACTGGTTGAAGAGGAGGAGAATATGCAACCTTTATGCAGTTGAATTATTAAAAATTAACATGACTGTTTGGGTTCTATATCTGCAAAAATATTCAATATAAAATAAGTAGCAAACAGGATTGGATTACTGTTTACTTGATAATTTCTCCATGAAATGTGACTTTTGTGCACTCAAGAAGTATTTTTCCATGTTCAAACTCCAATCCCATCATGCTCCGAGTTAAGATAGAAATATGTTTGCACATCCAGCAGAGCAACTCCTCTGTCTGCAAGATTTGTAGGAATTTGAGTTTGGATTTGTATGATCCATAAAAAGAAACCGCTGTAAATATAAACAACCCTGTGACCTTTACAGTGGCACCACTGACAGGAAAAATATGACTGTTCTGGTTCCACTACTAGCAAGGCGCTAGGAATAACTAAATCATCAGGATGTTGTATATATTCAGTCTGATGCTTTCCCTTTGTGGCTGTTAAACATAGAGTATACTATTGTGTGACATACTTTCATTCAAAATCTCGAAGATACAAAGTTGAGTTGGCTCTGATTTGAGTCCTCGGCCTGCCTCAAACTAATTGCTTGTTGAAATGTCAAAACGTCAAATAGTCTCACACATACACACACACACACACACACACACACACACACACACACACACACACACACACACACACACCCACACACACACACAGACTCTATCTGGTT